AATAGAATGTCAGACTGGGAAAAAGTATTTGGCAATGGCATATCTGACAAGGAATTAGTCTTTAAATTTTCTAGAAAGTTTTAATAGGTAAGCAACCAGAAAGATACACAATTCAATTAAAAAATAAGCAGAGGACATAACCAGATATTTCACCAAAGAAGATATTCGGTGGCCAACAAACACATGAAAGATTCGCTGAAGATCATTAGCTATTAGAGATATGCAAATAAATATACAATGACAGAATATCTCATCCCTGCTCCTGTAACAAGGTTAAGTGAGACAAAAGCAACAAATACTAGTGAAGGTGTAATAAGACTGGAGTTTTCATACTCTCTTAGTGGGACAGTGAAATGGTGCCACCACTATAGAAAATGGCGTGGTGTTTCCTTAAAAAATTAGAAATAGACATATCATTTGATCCACAATCTCACTAATAAATGTATATCCTAAAGAAATGAGAGCTAGGACATGAATAGATATATGAATGCTTAAGTTCATTGTAGAACCATTTACAACAGCAAAGAGAAACAACCCAAGCGCCCATTAGTGGATGAATGAGTAAACAAACTATGGTACAAACACAAAATAATCAAGTTAGTCCATGTTTAAGAGTGACAAAGATTCTGTGAAACACTTAAAATTGTAAATGAACCAGGAAGACATGCTTAATGAAAGAAACCACAAAAGGACAAATATTGTATGAGCCTGCTATTATATAAAGTCAAGGAAAGGTTATACATTAAAAGCCAACATTCTTTGATGGCCACCAGGGATTGGGAGCGGGGGGAGCCCTAAGTAGATAATGTCGTTTTTGTTGCTATGTGCTGTCGAGTTGACTGCAACTCATATGTACAACAGCCTTAAAACCTGCTCTGTCCTGTGCCAATCTTATTGTCTCTGACATACCTACCTTCATTACCCCAATCACTGAATCAGTCCATCTCATCGAGGGTCTTCCTCTCTTGCACTGTCCGTCCACCTTCCCAAGTATGACGTCCCTCTCCAAGGACTGATCCCTCCTTGCAACATGTCCAAAGTATGTCAGGTGGAGCTTCAGAGTCCTTGCCTCCAAAGAGCAGCCTGGTTTCATCCTCTCTAGGATGTTCCCTTAGCAGTCCATGGTATATTCAATACTCTTCTCCAGCACCACAGCTCAAAGACATCAATTCTCCTCCTGTCATCCCTAGTCATTGCCTGGCTTTCTGATGTAAAGCAAGTAATTACAAAGTCCATGACCTGTATCAGGTGCACTTTAATAGACAGGTATTATAGGATGAAGGAAAGGCAATATATAATAAGGAAGTGGTCAGCTGAATATCACTAAGACACTGAAAGGTGGACCAAGAATTACAGATAATAAAGGTAAATACTATTACATACACAATCCTGCATTATCAATAATATTGTTGTTGTTGATTGCCTTCATGTCAAGCACGACTCATAATGACTCTATGAACAAAAAGCCTGCAGCCCCTCTACAACTATTGACATTTATCAAAGTTCATAGAGTTTGTGGAGGTATGTTATTTAGAAAGTGCATGCCACTCAGTAATAACAAACACTCATCTGTAAGTGGATTCAGAGGCAGACAGGCAAGATGAACAGGTATGTGTAGGTGAAGTGGACTACACCCATGACCATCTTTATGTGGGGGTGGTGTTGTGTACATCAAGTCAGAACTGACCCATAGCTGACTTTCTAGTGGGTTTTCAGAGGCAGTTAATCTAACAGGAGGAAACTGCCCATCCTTCTCCTGCAGGGCAGCTGGTGAATTCAAACTGTATGCCCTCAGGATTGTAGCACAGATTCTTACCGGAGCTCCCTATGTATGTGATGTAAATATATTTTGCGGATGTAGTAGAGCACAAAATTATGTAAACTTTTTCATCTTAACAAAACATCCTAATGGGATCTTGATTTCAGAGGACATCAAGGTCAACCAGAATAACCTAGTCCACAGACACAATGTTCCGCATCCTATTTTGCTAAGTAGTGACTGAGGTCTTAAAATGTTTTGAATTATCATCTAAAGTGCAACTATTCATCTCCCTGTATCCAGAGCAAAGAAGGGTGAGGAAAATAAAAAACGCATGGAAAGAATTATTCCAAAGGATTAATGGATCATGTGAGCCTTGGCCTCCAAGACTAAGTCCACAAGAACTATTGTTATTGTTGTTAAGTACCAGAGTCGAGTACCACTCACAGCACCCATATGAACAACAGGAACTAGAAGATGCTGTATCTCTCCCAATGAACCCACTCCAAGTTAGCCACTTCTCTTATTGTCATGGAGTCCATACTGACTAGTTGCTGACCCTCCATCAGGTTTCTCAGGCTGTTAATCAGAGAGGAGAGGAGATTGCCTACTTTTCTCTGTTGGAGCTGGTGGATTTGAACAGTCAGAAAGGCACTGCTTTTTGGTAGCACCTCATCTATCCATTTGCAGGATATAAATTTGAGATTGGAGAGTAAAACAAGTTCAAATCACTTTAGTCATGGTCGACAAAATGAAACTGGAACAAAATAGAATTTGAAAACTATTGTTGTAATGTACTGTGGAGTGGTAACCAACTCATAGCTGACCCTCCAGAGGGTTTTTCTGACCCTCCAGAGGGTTTTTAGAGATGATAAAATGCATGGCAGGAGAATGCTCATTTTCCCCCCCTCGGAGTGGCTAGGGTATTTGAACCAAGTGTCTTTGGGTTGTCTGCACAGCTCCTTACCACCAAGCCACCAGAGATGCCTTTAAAACATATTAGTCAACAGGAACAATAACCAGAATAGAAATAAATGATAGAGTGTGAAACTGATCCAAAGTGACAGTGAAGATGGATGAGGAGAAGAAAAAAAGGAAGGGGGTAAAAGAAGAAGAGATCCCAGAGAAGTGAATATGAATTTGGAAAATAAATTTGGATATTGTCTAAATTTAACCATAGCATGAATTTAAGAAACGGTTGCTAAAAATGAATAGGCAAGTAAATGAAGAACACCTGACAGATCTTTAAATATGAATTCTGTAAAAGTTTTGGATAATCCAAATCAAAGCATTTATTTCCACCCCTAACCTATTTTAAAGTCTGTGTTTGGGAACCACAACCCAACATTTCAGGATTCAGGGTCCCAGGAGGCAGGTGAAATTTTATATTCATAGAACAGACATTGTACACCAAAAGGACAACATTTTAATGTGATTTATTTGAAATGCTTCCAGAAAAGTTTAAGGCCATTATACAAACACATTCATTTCATCAGAACATTCATTTACTTTCTTCACAGAGCCAATATCTGACAGCCCTCTTGTCTCAATACACTGGCTAACCCAGCCGATGGCTCCTTCAAAGAATGGTTGATTCTTTTCTCCACCATCAAATGCTTTCTCTCAGCTTTTCCCTGCTTTCATCTGTAGCAGGCTTATTCACTTGCTAAAGGAATAACAACTGAGAAACAAAGCTGTTTTAAATAAATTTGTAATAGAAAAAAATTCACCATGTTTAGAATCTATAAATACAGAGATATGTTTATAGGGTCAAACTGACCACAATATGTTTATGTTTTTGAAAATTAATAAAGCCATCTACGATGCTTGTATATTGATAATCTCATCACACAGCTTTGAGTGCACATGACATATGTACATAATAAGATGACATTTTACTGACTGCTTTTTTTCCCCCCTGTAAACTTGAAAGACAGAAGATTTTAAAAGAGAAAAAAACATTTTTGGCAATAATTTAGCATTATTACTACTAGTGCTGGTGCAGGTATGATTTTGCACAGGTCATCTTTAATATTTACACTCATAGGGAGCTCTTCTGTTTCTTTTGTTAACTTGGGTTTTTCCTCCCCAGATCTGCAGCCCACCCTGCCATGGTATAAGTCAAGGCTGAACCAAGAGGTTTCTAGTTTGGCTAAGTGACCTTAACTGATCATAAAAGTCAAACTTCACTGCCACCAAGTCGATTCTAACTCACAGTGACCTTGCTGGACAGAGTAGAATGGTCCCATGGGGTTTCCAAGGCTGTAATGTTTACAGACACAGATGCCACCTCCTTCTCCTAGGGAGCAGATGCTGGGTTTGAACCACTAACCTTTCAGTCAGCAGCTGAAGACTTTAACCACTGTGCCAAATGAATTGCAGGGCTAATTAAATTGGCCTCTGGAGAATGTAATTATTATTCTGCTTGAAGCACAGAGAAATTGATGGTAAACTGATGACCCAGAAGCATTAACAGGAAAACATAAGGCTCTAGTATTTTTCCGAAGTACACTGGACCTTTTCTCTTTTGATGCATTTCCCATAAGGTCATGATGAAGTTTTTCCTCTTGCAAGCTTCTGTAAACTCGTGAGTCACTGTCTCTTCACCTTTTCATTCATGCTATAAGAAGTGAGTAGGGTCAGAGAGATGAAACAACATGAATGAAGACAGGGCCTGCTTGTGATCCTGGGAAGTTATCCCAGGCCTCTTTTCTTTCCTATTCTGATGTCTTGGGCTAGAAATGGCTCTCTGAGCAAGCCACTGCCCACCGCAGGGGCCTTCTGGTGTCATGCTTGTTTCTGTTCAACATCAATGCTGGCATCTGCATCCTTGCAAGGTTAGACTCTATTTCATATGCTAATAGATAATTGCATCAAGCTTGTGCTGAATGAAATCAATCATAAGATTAACACAGACAGAGCTTCTTCCCTTGCAAAATGAACCCTCTGGAATCCCCCAGGGACATTATTTAATGATACTGTCTCGGTGAAAGTCATAGAACTGAGTTCCCTCCCAGGCATTGAACTTTCCTGGTTCTCCCTTAAATGCAATGAGACAAAAGTGAAGTGACTTCCTCAAACACAATTTGCAAGGCCTTCTAACTTCCATGCCATCAGCTACCATGATAGAGAGCTAGAGGAACACGGGAGGACTCTTTAAGCAACCTACATAGAACAGTAGTTTAGAGATTCTTTTTCTGTGTTTTAAAATCCAGCAGGATAAGTCAAAGAAACTTGTTCAAGTACCTCTCCATCCATGCATACACTTGCGAACTACACAAGATGACAGCTTGCCACAGATTCCAGCTTACAGACAGGTTGGCAGTTACAGTACGAGGGACAAAGATATAAGTGACTGGATCAACAAGGTCACAAAAGTATTAAAAAGTGCTTCTTCAAACCGTTCCTGGTGTGGGATGCGAATACTGTACAGGCAAGATGCAGGGCAACTTCCAGGAAGTACAGGTGCTCCTGTCAGACGTTGCTTTCGAGGTGCCTGCTGTTTGGACAAGAAGAGTCTGTCTGTTCCATGCGCTCACAGTCAAGGCTGATCTCACTCGTGTCCATACTACAGTCCGACTCACTGTCCGATTGGTCCATCTGCTCAAGTTTGGTCTCTCCCCGTGGCTCCCTGCTCTCGGCGGCGGGGTTTAGGAACAGTCCCTCAGAGTCAAGCACTCCAGCCTGCCCAGTTGCACACAGAACTGTCTCTTTGGCTTGGCGGATACAGTTAAGCCACTGCTGTTTGTTGAAGGTGTCGTTGGCTTGTAGTGAGTGGGTCTGACTTTGTGATCCATTTTTGAAACTTACTCGGAAAAAGTTTTTAACTAGAAATGAAAGAAAAAAATACATGAAGGGAAAAGGTCCACAAACAGGTATTTCCTTACCCAATGATAACACATTTAGTATCACTAACTCCAGGTCTAATGTGCCCAGTTGATATCAGGTTCATTTGGACTTACAACAAACCTCTGTGCAGACATTTTTGAAACTTATGACGGATTCCAAGATGTTTCGCCACCAACCCAGCCCAGGACTCAACTCCATCCCGAAGTCGCCATCCATCAATTGGGACAGACTGACCGTTAGTGCTCAGTTGCCCTCTAGAGCCAGCAAGTGGCTATCAGCTTGGAATAACCAAGCCATGCATTTCAGGGGATCCCAGGCTATTAGTTACCAAAACCAGCTGCATATAAAAACTCTCTTGGGAGTTTTTTAAAAATACAGATCCTGGGTTCCACCTATACTTACAGATTCTGATTCAACAGTTAATAGAATGGGTCTGATAACATAATTTAACAGATGCCCAAACTAGAGCATTTTCAAGAGTTAAGAAACTCTTTTTAATAGCAGCACGTATCTACCACACTCCACGTGACAGCACCTGAACACTTAGTATACACTGTCACGAAATTATGCGTTTGACGAATAGTAGCACACAATGTGCAAGATGTCTTCACTTTGTTTAATAATGCTACTGCTAACTGACATTCATGGGCCTTGCAGGCCAAAGGCAATGCTGGAATCACAGAAGCACTTTTGCCAGCCATTTTCTCTAAGCCTCTCCAGTTAAGCAATAAAGGTAAGTTAGGTCCAATTGCTTCATCACTTGTGATCTTTAACTAGAAGTTACTCAGTCTCCACTCCTCTGGTCTTGTGAAGCCACCCTGACCTCTCTCTGTGTGCCTCACTCTCCTTACTTTTAAATGAGGAAAATCAAGAGAACTCAATTTATAAGGTGATAATAGGGGACTGTTGTGATAATACACGTAAGTGCTCACATAATGCCTGGAGCCCATGCCTATCTAAGCTCTGTTTAATAAAAGTCCCAATAATAAAGTCTCACTCAATAACTATAAACTCCTCCTCCTCCTGCAAATGAGATCATGCCTGGAAAAGTGGAGGATGGGCCAAAGAGAGGACGTGCCTCAGTGTGACGGACAGATCTAATGACAGCCACCTGGGCTTCAGAACAGTGGAGATCGTGAGCATGGTGCGTGATCAGTCAGGGTTTCCTTCTGTGACACTGGGCTCACAGAGAAAACACAGTGACAGAGGGTCATTGTGAGTGGGAGCTGACCCAGCAGCACCTAACAAGAATATTATCCCTATTCCTATTGCCATCGAGTCAATTCTGACTCTTAGAGACTTTGTAAGACAGAGTCAAATGGCCCCACATGTTTCCAAGCTATAAATCTTTACAGCAGTAAACTAACTCACTTTTCTCCATCAGAGTGGCTGATGGGTTTGAACTGCTGATTTCAGTTTAGCAACTCAATGTTTAGCCCACTATGCCACCAGGACTCCTTGGGTGAGAGACAGTGAATATTAAAAGTGATGCTTCTGTTAACCCAAGAGGGGCAAATATTCTTCAAAGGTGACTTCCCTGGCTTTCTCATCTAAACAGACCTCGTACAGATCTCACTGGCCCCTATCAGAACTGATTTTCCTAAGAGCATGCAGAGTAGTTATTTTGAGTGGGAGTTTTTAGTCTATCTCATCCTTTTCAATGTACGCTCCATAGGGGCAAAGAAGGTAATTTTGTTCTAGGCACTGCCTACTAGACACATGGGAGACGCTAACAGATATTTCTATTTAAGCTCCTCTTAACAAAATGCCACACGGCCACCACGAGCTCTCACACATACTTCTCTCGTTGTTGCTGAAGGCCCCGCGCAGAGAGCCGCCCAGCCTCACTTCCCCGTCCTGCAGGTCCTCCAGCAGCAGGTCCTTCACGGGGATTGGCTGCCGGTACAACTGGTAGCAGAGCTGCTCGTTGTGGGTGACAGTGCGAGTGATCACAAGTACTTCTTGAAACAGGAAAACATGCAGCTTCTAGAAGAAAAGAATCCACAGGATTTCCATAAGTCCTAACCTACAAAGTCTTTAATTTGTGGAGTTCTGTGGATAAGAGGTTCCTAGGACCCAGGATTGCACCAGAGTATATAAACTGGTGGGTTCACGCCTATCTTCAGGAGAACAAAACTCAGAGGTGCTTCTGGATGTATCCACAGTCTTTCCTGCAGGAGTGTCTTCCCGGGAGCTAAAGGAAGCAGTCTTCCTGGGAAGCCAAGTTTGCCAACTCCAGGAGTGCTTACTCTATAATGATGGGGTGTGTGCAGAAATATGGTTTCTAGCTCCCGTAAGAATGAAAGAAGAAAATCGAATAAAGAGAGTAATGAAAGAAAAAATTAGCAAGTCCTGACTCTGGTATTTATGTCAGTCAGTGCTACCAGCTGCCCATGAGCGACTCAGGGCAGCCCCTGCGGGTTTTCCATGGCTATTTCCAGGCTTTTCTCTCAGATACTCCTATGTAATGTGAACCTTCAATTTTTTTTTTTTTAAATTTTTTTTGTTCTGGTTAGGAGTGCTACTCACCAAGGACTTTGCCACCAGGCACTTTTTGAACTTTCAACCTTTTGGTTAGCAGCCAAACTCATTAACTGTTTGCATCACCCAAGGATTCCTCTAGGGTTGTATCATCTAATAGAATTTGTAGAGCTCAAAGTTAACAATAGACTATAAAGGATGAGACAGGTATATCAAAGCCTAGCATTAATCTTTCTTTCTCAAACCCTAAACACACTTGTTCCTTTAACCATGGGGTTGATTATCAGCTTTGTTCAGGAACTACCACTCTGAACACTGCCCATTCTTGAGAGAACCAGAGCCCGCTAGTAGAGCCACACAGAAAGATGATCAAAGTTTTCCTTCTTGGTTGAGTTCATTAGTATCAGAGGACTCTGAGGAGGTTGTACTTAAAAGGCTGATGAAGACAATGTGTGTGTGTGTGTGTGTGTGTGTGTGTGTGTGTGTGTATAAAAAGAAAATCTCAAAAACAAAGACTTGTCTTAAGCCACATCATAAAAGCAAGTCTGCGATTGGCTCAATCCAGTCTTCTCACAGTTTGGAAATATTCTTGAACTGAAGAGAAAGGGTCCACAATGTTGCAGCTAGGGTCTGGTTTTTTGGTGGAAAATTCTCATCCTTCTCCTGATGGGGATATGAGCTTCTGGTTGGGTAGGAAGGGACATTCATATTTGCATTTTTTATTCTGGATAGGGGAAGCATATTCAGCATTATCATAAAATGTTATATTCTGGGGTAAAGGTATCTGCAGGTGCCCAATAAGACTACTAGACACACACAGAAAACTGTGGAAAATGAAGCTAAACCAATTTCTGACCAGTGGAAATACGTGAGTGATGATTTCCCCAGGTGGGAGTGGAAAGTGAGTTTATGTTTACCAGAAAAGTTAATGTGTGTTTAAAAAGATTGAAAAATCAGAGCATTGTGTAAAGCACAAAATAATTGAGGGTTTTTTTTCAGGGGAGGAGTGACAGGAGTGGGTTAAGTGGGAGTAAGGGAGGGAAGAAGCCAGATATACTAAAAATAATCAAGGTCAACAACAACAACAAAATTTAAAGAAAAAATATCAGTGAATATTTCTGAGGGTCTGGTGAGCCATCTGTAAATGTTCACTGAAAGTTCCCCTTGGCCTTGGTTCCCTTCTGTCTTCAAATAACTACACTTTTTCCTGACTCAGGACTTTGTTCATGAAGAAAAAAAACAACCATAACAAAACCATTAACTATCACCCTCCCTCCTCAACTGTCTCTGTTCTTAGAGATCTATCTGCTTCCAACTTGGAGTTCACTTTCTATGTCTGTGACAGGCCTAGTCAGGAGGCTTCTAGTCCTTGACTGTCACTTCTGTAAAAGAAGTCCCTATCTGTTAGGGATCTTCCCAACTGTGTCCTCTAGAGTTTCTCTAGGAAGAACATTCAAGGAGCCAGAGTGTTAGGCAGTAGATGTCTACCAGTGCTTTCTGAAAACCAGCAAGAAGTAGACAGAGCGATCTAGTTATTTATGACTCTAGCCAAACAGACCAATGGCTTTAATCGGTGAGATCAGGCCCAGTCTCCTTCCTTGCTGCACCGGATCCACAGCAGCCCTGAGAGCAGCTGCTGTAACATGAGACGTATACACAGATTTCAAATAACATTTCCAGGCCTGCCCATAAAAGCCACTTCACAGTCCAGGTCAAAAGGGTGTTCCTTGCATCATCAAAGCTTTATGAAGGACTCATCAGTCTCATTTTGGCTCTCATGCTATGTAAGTTGGCTAGATAGTGAAGAGAAAATATGATTAAAGTAAAGGTGCTCCTTTCTCAGCAAAGAAGTTCTAAACACACATATTGTAATGAATTAACTAAGTATTAACTTGTACTTAATTTAATTAACTCAAAAAACAAACTCATTGCCAGTAAGCAAGAACTGAACTGACTCAGAGCTGACCCTCCGTTTCTGAGGCTGGAAACTGCAGGATTTCTCTTTCTCCTGTGGAGACACTGGTGGGTGTGAACTTCCAGAAGGACTTGGCCTTCAGATTAGAGAGCAATTCCTCACAGACTATACCCAGAGCTCCATAATCTAATTAAACAAACACAAATTAAACATTGTTTTCATTATTGGACACACATAAAAACAATCTAATCAATTAAATGACTTTTCAATTTGCTTTCGCTCAAATCCATCCTTCCTTTCCATAAGCGTTCATTTATTGACTGATTCAACTAACATTTCTAAGTGCTTAGTATGTGCCCGGGGAGCTCTCGTGGTGCAGACTGCAGAAAGCTGTGCACCTAACCCAAAAGCAGTGCTTCGCTGGTGGTCTGAACCCACGAGAGGCTCCTTGGGAGAAATAGGGACAATCTCCTGCCGGGCAATTTACAGCCCTGAGAACTCACGAGAGGGACGGTAAAGGGGGTTCTATGAGCCCACTACGAGAGAGTTCTCCTTCCACCGCAACGATTTTGACATCTTTACTTTGAGCCATTGAAAAGCCTATGGCACACACGATGAGTGGAAATTGAGGTAGTGGCAACTGACAATATGTGTGAGTGGCAAGTGACAAAATGTGCCAGGCCACTTTAATAGGGGCTAGGGTTTGACAAGACACAGCTCCCACCCTGAAAGAAGATGACTGAGTGAACGATAATGACAGACAGATAAATAATTTAAATCCACTCTAGTTAAAGCTTCAAGAGATGTTTGCCCAAGTTTCTCTGATAACAGAGAAAGGAAGAGCATAAATATCACAGGAATAAAAGCCAGGAAAAAGGGAAATCTATAGATCATAGCTAGAAAGGCAGGCTATAATTTAAAAAAAAAGAAAACAAAACTAGGCTTGAAATGCCAGCCTGTTGATGGGTGTCAACCCATGAAAAGGAAAGAGGTTTTCATAAAGCTAATTGTATTCAATTTAAGAGTTATCTGTTTTTCTGAGGTCAAATCCTTTTAAACTCCAGTTAAAACCACCCTTTATTTCCTGAAATCAAAGTGGGAGGAGATGACAATTGTTATGTGTTTGTTTTTGAAGGTCAGGATCAAGCAAAGTAAAAAGCTGGCAATCCTGTGTTGGTTTCCAAAATTCTGATTAAGTTAAAAAAATAAAAAAGGTATTCTTAATATGGAAAAGAAACTGGGAAAATAATTTTGGTCTGAAAAATATATAATCCCGGCCAGAGAAGTCATAGTAAGGGTTAGCATCAAAGCATGGGGGCAGGGGAAGGATTTTCTAGGGGGAGTGTTTTCTGGAGGGGGGATGACCACTTACCACACCCCGGTTGTTCTTCAGTTCACCATGGCAACACAGCACTCTGGAGTTGTCAATCAGGGAGTCTTTCTGGCCTTCCTCTAAGTAAAGGAGCCGCTCCTTATAATAGCGACATTCAGATTCCCCAGTCTTGGTGTTGATTTCAGCCACGATTCCTTGAATGATGTTTATCTATGAAAACAAAAGGGGAGAGTAAGCAAACCGTCCATACCAACAGTCTCAGGGTACCAGGCTAGAAGATCATCCGGATCCACTTAGACCTGAATTCCAAGATTCAATTGTCTAAGTTGCTACTTTGAGGGAAAGGGAGAAAGAAAGAAATGCTTTTAATACCTGTGCCTCTGTGTAACTGTGCAGACAGATATGCAAAAACACATTCATATATATAAAATCAAATCTATTATAAGTTGACCCTGACTGACTGTGACCCTGCAATATAGAGGAGAACTGCCCTGGAGTTCTAATTTTTATGGAAGTAGAGTGACACATTTTTCTCCTGCAGAATTGCTGCTGAGTTTGAACTGCTGACCTTCCTCCTAGCAGCTGTGTGCTTTAAGGACTTCTAAAATGTTTTCTAAAAGACAGAAAAAGAAGGATGAGGAACAAAGACACTAGGGATTAATTATGGGGTCAGTATGTGTCTGTCCTCTCATGCACAAATCTATACACTTGAGGATGACTAAATTGTAAGCCTAGGTGTTTCAAAGCAGTGGTGGATACGATGCAGTAAATACAAAATAAAGTAAACATCAACAAAAGAATATCACACTGAGACTTGACTGTCGGTAGTTATTTGATGACATGGGTAACACATTTAAATAAAAGAGGAGTTAAAAAAAAAAAAACAACCCCAAAGGATTAAGAAGATGGACTAGGAAATATTCAATAACACTAATCAAAGGCAAAAGAATAAATTCTTCAGTAGATGGGTTCCCCATCCTCTCCAAGTGAAAAGATCACTAGTTGAAAGAACTGAACAAATGAGAAATGTTAGCAAGACCTCTTCTTGGTCATATCAGAGTTCAGTCACATTTTCTGGCCAACAGAAAAGCCAAAAGGCCTCAAAAACAACAACAGTTAAGCCAGTTAAACAAGTAAGTCTCTGAGAAGATAGCAAGATTCTAAGAGAGGCCACCAGCTCTCATAGTAAACTAAATCTCAAACAAAACCCACTGGTGTGGAGTTTGGGCCCCACTCTTAGCAGCCCTGCACTGGGTCTGCAAGGTTGTCTTAACAGGCAGAGCCTCCCCATTGTTCTGTCTTCCAGCAGCTGGAAGGTTCTAACCACTGAGCTTTCAGTCTGATGAAGGTTAAATATTTTCTAAATTTGGGTGAAAGGATACTTTCTGTCCAAAGTAACTGGATGAAAATGTTTGCCCAAGTATTTTTGTACTTCTCATACAAGACTGACAGAGGAGTGCATAGTGACAAGCTGAAATCTGGTGACTGTATACTGGTGACAGATACACAATCTGTCCACTTTTGTAGATATTATGCATTTAAATGATCATTTATCCATTCTGTTTCTCAAATTTTGGCCATAGCATCATTTGACAAGAAGAAATAACTCATTAAAAAGAAAAACAAATCCAAACCCCACAGGCTTTTTAGTCTTGATGTCGGTTTAATTTTCAAATATATTGTTTTTGTTGCTATGTACCATTGAGTTGGAATAAAAACAGAGCTCCAGTGGGTTTACAGAGCACAGGAGAAAACTGCCCATCTTTCTCCCTTGAATCAATTGATGAATTAGAACCATCTTTCTTTGAGTTAACAACTCCTACTACTAAACCATCAGAACTCAATTTCCAAATATAAAGCCTATATAATTAATCTGAGTTTTATAATCATAGAACAATTAATAGCAGAATATTTTGGTATCCTTTCTCTGTTTCCCATTCCCCTTTTTGATGTTTATTTTACTTTCAAAAGAAAAGCAGAAACTGCATAAAATACAAAAAAAGAGACGACATCATTCAAATGATCTCAATGAATGCTTGTTGAGGAGTCTTGGTGGCACAGTTTAAGCAATCAGCTACCTTTTGTTGCCTCCCATACTGTCCTGGGATGGATGGGTGTCAGGAGACAAGCTTCCTGCCCATCCTTTTCTCTTCAGAAAAGATTAGTGGTTCAAATCTACCAGCACTCCTTGGGAGAATGGTGTGACATTGTGCTTCTATAAAGAGTGCAGCCTTGAAAACTCTGTGAGGCAGGGCTCCTCTGTTCTCCTGCATGGCTGTGAGAATTCATGCCAATGAGTTCAGTTTTTAGGTAATGCTGCTTGATGGTAAACTGGTATTCAAGGAGATAGGTCCTATCCTCAAAAATCTTAGATGGGAAGCATCTGAGCAGTTGATTGACAACTATCTTACCCTTTCACCAGCCTGCATTCCCCCCGCACTCCCACCCCTTCTTGTGGATCTAACTGGCACGGGAGGAGATTGCCCCTCCTTATCCAGTGGAGCATCTGATGGATTTGAACCCTGCACCTTTGGGATCGCAGCGCAGCTTCTTGCCACTAGGCTACCAGAGCTCCCTTTATCCTACTTTTTTTTAAAAATCCAAAGTCTCTGTAAACATTCATTTAAATTAATTTAGAACATTTAGATTTAAATTTATTTTATTATTATACTAGTTTATTTACACAATTCAAATACATTATTTTCCAGTCTTACATTTTTTAGTATGTAATAGAACCCATCGTCCTTCCTTGTTTTTAAAGACTCTGGCATAAATAATTTTATTAATTTACTATAATTACTATGTGTATCTGGGTTCAAATTAGCCAGCACATCATTTTCTGTAAGAAGCCATGGTGGCATACTGCGCTACAAGCTGGGCTTCTAACTGAAAGGCTGGTGGTTTGAATCTACCAGCTGCTTAGGAGGAGCAAGATAGGCCATCTCCTCCCATGGAGAGTTACAGCCTCTGAAAAACCCAAAGGTGGGCTGCCATGAGGGTCAACTGGCTCGACGGCAATGGGTTTGAGTTTTGGGATATTTCAAGCACCTAGGAAACCAGAAAGAAAATTCACTAAAGGCATAAATATGTGCTTATTTCCTACTTGAATTCAGGAGCCAAACAGCTGGCATAGCATATGAAAATTAACAAAGTCAAATGTCATGGTGGTTCCTTACAAATGAGACTTTCTGGGTTTTTAAAAAGCAGAGACAAAACAAGAGAGGCAGCGAGTGTCATCATTTCAGAGTCTGCATGCAATTTTATAATAATGATTCCAGATGAGATCTGCTTTCACTTTATTCAAAATGATGCTCTTGTATTCGTGTCCTCCTGAACCCATCAGGGCCTACACCGGCATCAGTTCCTGGGAAAGATGGATTTATTGTGCACAACTGTCAGGTGGGTGGTGGAGAGAAAAATGTCAGTCAGCAGATTGTCCAATGCAGTCAAGGGAGTTTTGTATTGTGACGACATTTATTGTTGCCTTTTCTCGATGGGGCTCAAACTGCAGGAGAGGGAGTGGTGAAAGGAGATAACGAGAGATACCTGGGAACAGCACATAGATTAATCCCACACTTGCTAGAACCATCATCCACAAACTCAGATCTGAAAGCCATGACTGTCCAGTCCTGTGGGGCAAGATCATATCACTGGCTCGGTGATTTGAACCAAGCCTTCAATGCCACTGCATCAAAAGAAGGGCTGTTCTCTCCATTCAGTCTTTTTTTTGGGGGGGGGGCATTGGAGAACAGTGGGAAGTGGGGGGCAGTGGGGAGATGTTTTATATAGGTCATGTTTTTGGTGTGGTTTTTTTTTTCCAAAGCAATCCTCAGAATTTAAAAGATTAAACAACCAGTTCTTTAGGACATCTGTATATCCAAAATTCTATTTTAAGTGCTCTTCTGGGGGAAATTACTATTAACGTTCCAAAACACGATTAAGAGATTATAAGAAAGATGTGGACAGTTTATGTACTGCATTAGAAGAAAGACTTCTTTAGATCCAAGCACAAGGCTGAATTAAATCAGCTCCCTTTTTTGTGTTGAGGCCACTTACAGAGTGAACTCTTGTCCTTTTTGAAATGCTGAAAATATTTATTTAGGGAACACGTACATCAAGCTATACTGACACTGTGGGTTTCATGTTTATCATACATTCACAGCACATCCAGGAGCTTAGGGAGAAATATTTCTACTCATATAAGGTAATGCCATGTTGGTTTTGAAAAGATAGGAAAACAAATTATCATGCAGAGAAAGGAAGCACAAGGGAGAGCAAACCAAGGCATACTTGTGTGTGAGGAGTCTTGATTATATAGTAGGTTAAGTGTTGGACTTATAACTGAAAAGTCAGCAGTTCAAAGCCACTGGCTAGTCCTTAAGAGAAAGATGGGCAGTAACTTCCCATTAAGATTTACAGCCTCAGAAACCTGATGGTGTCAGAATTGACTTGACAGTGGTGGGTTATCCCATGTAGAGACTACTTGCTTTGCAGGCAGTTTCAAATGAAAGTACACAGTGCTTCATGAACAGATCTACAGATTAGACTTTTGAAAAATGCTTCACACTGTACGGACTAGTGAAACTGCTTACTGGCTCTTGGTTTTACATACGCAAACACGAAAACTAGAGTTCTTTTTTTTTTAAAGAAAGGAAATCTTTGTAATAAAATTCAGAACAGACTCATATGCTTCAAAAAAGTAATTATTTAGACTAGCCTAAGCCCTCTGTTGTCTCTATCCCTGCAGACCACACACTTCTAGGATAAAATATGGAGAGGAGGCAACTCTTTCACGCTCTGCTCAGTGATGAAAACAGACATGATGAAGCAAAAGCCGACCTCATCTCATCCCTAGTGTGCCAGGGTTCCTCCTCCAGGCAGTCAGACACAGTGAATCTCACTCATGAGGGAGGCTCTTCTCTTTTTTCTGTAGCCTGACTCAGAACCATGTGACCCAGCTCAGCAGCCCTGAGTGATCTCCATAAAACCTGAATTCCAAAGGCAACAGTGGCTCCAAGAGGGGCCAGACTTCAGCCCTATGGTACCGGATCACAGGGAAGTGTAAATGCACACAGCTTAGAGTCTGCACTGACAGGATTTAAATGGCAGTTCTGTCTGTCATTTGCTGGCTCTGGGTCAAGTTATTTAATCCCTTCACGTTCCAGCTAGAAAACAGTCCTCATAAGAACAGCTGTCACCTAGGTTGCTATGAGAATTAAGTAAGATATATATTCTATGTAAAATGATACATAAAAATTATTTTCCAGGTACTCAATAAATGCCAGCAAGTATTATTATAATGGATCCTCTCCAGTTATTATCCAGTCATGGATCAAACCCTGATCATGTCTTTGAATTGGCCTCTTAGGCTTCATCTCTGCTGCCACGCCCCTGCTCAGCTTTCCAAGACCACCCCTGGGCCCTGCAACATCCTCCCAAATTGCTTTCCTGTCACCAATCTCTTCTTCCTCCACCTTCTTCTACAGACAGGTCGGTGTAACTTGCCAAGGTCACATAACTTGTAAGTGAATGGAACACTGAACATGACATTCTTCTCCACAGGAAAGAAATAAACCAACAGGCCTCCAATTAATTACACAACAAATAAAAATTTCCAAAAGGGCCATTTAAGATTCTCTACGATCAGATTGTTATGTCTCACCAGCTGCTTTGTGGGATAAAGAGGAGGAGGTCTGCTCCTGGTGAGATTCACAACCTTGGAAAACCTGATGGGAAGTCCTGAACATTTATTTGGCCTTTTTAGTTTACTGATTAACTAAGGACCCCTGGCAGGGCAGTGGGTAAGCTTGCTTAACTTAGCAATTAACAAAATGCTAATAGGAAATGTTAACCTGATCAACACTTAACAAACATTTCTGGGCAAGCAGCCTACTAGTAAAGAGAGACTCTGAATCCATTACAATTGAGACTCAGGGGAGCAGGATCTAAGCGCATGCTGACTGCACCAACGGGCTTTGGGCCTAATGCAGGAGGCATCTCCCCTTTTCTAATTCAACAAAAGATCTTCAATTTAAAATCTCCTTGGAGATGTTAACTCTCACAGGCAGCAGCTTTAACAAGTAGATTATAGGGAGCTCTGGTGGCCTAGTGGGAAAGGAGTTGTGCACCCAACACAAAGGCAGGTGGTTCAAATCTGCTCCATGGGAGAAAGATAGGCAATTTCCTCTGTGATTTACAGTCTCTGAAAGTCCACTGGAGAATCAGCTATGAGCTGGTTCTCAGTGGCACATAACAACAACAACAACATAAAATCCAGAAACTCCAGAATGAAAAGAACCTCAGAGTGCATTTCAGGTCAATAATGCATATTACGGATTAGGAAACCAAGGTGGAGAGAGAAAAGAGACCGAGAGACTTGTATAAGCCAGATCTGTCACCCAAGGGTCCTGGTGACTATTTAGTTCACTCCCTGACAGGACCCATGAACTATCACGTGGAAAACAGAAGGGAAGAGAGAAAGAACAAACATACTGCCTCTTCCAGATGCTGCTGATCCGGGTTGTCATTTGGCGTGTGCCTCAAGATTTCTCGGAGTAGCAGAGGGTATTTCACCAGGCGGCTTCTTGGAATATCAAGGAAATTCCAGAGGTCTAGTTTGCGGCTGAAAGGAGATTCTAAGCATCGCTGAAGGAAATCCTGGACTCGGTGGTCTTGTTTTTTGTGGTCCAGAAGAGCTTTGGCGGCTACTTGATTGCTACAGTAGCTATCATAGGAGCTGAGACAAGGCAGCTAGGAAAAGAAAAGAAGAAGGGGGTTAGAGTGTCTACATAAGCTCTAAGAGTCACAGGTTAGTACCATTCCTGGGAACTGAGCAAACATCTAACTGGTCTCTAGGCCTGGCCAACATAAAGGTTTATCTGCATGGCTGGAGGAGAACAGAGGAATTCATCAAACTGGCAGGCACTGGACAGCTTTCTTAAGCTCCAGCTTACTTGTACCAACTGATTTTCTTAGCTGCATATTTGCTTTCTTTATTACTAAGACTCATGTCAAATTCATTTGCATTTTCTATCAATTTGAACTAGAAAGAACTAGAAAGATGACATATGCTTACAATGCAGAACTGTCCTATCCTTCCAAGAGACTCTATGAGGGATGAGATTCTTATGTTTATAGAATTTCTATTAAAATTGGTCACACACACACACACACACACACACACACACACACACACACACACACACTCATTTAAGACTCAGGCACAAAAAAGAAAGTAAGTGGTCAGATTCTCCAGCCCAGTCCTCTGCACGGCTCTGTGCAAGCAACTATATGTTAGCTTAAGACACTTAATTCTAAAGTGGCCCAATTACAAAGGGCCTCTAAGAAATTAAAGCAAACTTATGATGAGTGGAAAAAATCAGATTCAAGAAGCATTTAGAAAAATCTTTTTAATTAGCTCTGGCATGCTAGGAACGATTCTGGGCTCTATGGCACTTAGTGGTTGACCTTGTGGTACCAAGCAAAAAACAACTTAACGACTGCAGACTATTTCAACTTCACTGTGTTCCTTCCACCAAAATCCTCCCTGACATGTCCCATCAGTTGCACTGTGCAAACACTGTGTCAGAGACTCAATGAAAGTGCAGTTCATCCCTGATGTGCACTCCTCCCTATCAGATGGCTATGGAGACTTGGCATCCTAATACACGGGCTGTCGGATTCCAGAAAGCTACCAGAGACAATTAAATGTGGCCGAGGGCCCAGCTGCTCGTGTTCTCTCCTGTGTACTAGGAGCCTTCACTCAACTTGCTCTGTGGAGGGATTCTATGCAAGATGATGCCATTAACGTCTTTATCTTCAACACATATCTATATGGGTCTGTGCTCCAAGTACAGAAAGAAATGAATGTGTACTGGATTACCAGGTTAGAAGATATCTGGTGGGCTGGGTACAATGTTTGAAAATAAAATGTAGTAGCATCTGAGCAATGCTAAAAATACACCTTTTAAGTATAGGTAAAAAAGGTTTAAAAGTCTATCTACTTTCATCTTTTATATTTCATATTGAAATTAGTTTCTAAGTGACCAAATACCAGGAAAGTAATGTTTTAGAGTTTGTTGTTGAGCTTAAAATTCCTTGGAAAGAAATGGTTACCCTCTTTATGTATTATAAAATCTTGTAATGTGTTTAAAGCTGCAGAAATCATTTTATCAAACCTTATATAATAATTGATATACATACACATATATCCTAGTTAGAGTGTTGTTTGTGACTTATAATTTAGATTTTCATCTAATTAAAAAGAGCCTTGGGAGCTCTGGTAGCCTAGTGGCAAGAAGCTGCACTGAAATCCCAGAGATTCACGGTTCAAATCCACCAGATGTTCTGCTGGAGAGGGAGGGGCAGTCTCTTCCAGTACTAGTCAGATATGATTTGATGGTACACACACACAAAATAATAAAGTAAAATAAATTTAAAAAAAATTAAAAATAAAAAAAATAAAAAGAGCCTTGGGCTCTTTAAGCTTTGTTCCCACTTCCTTGCCTTTTAAAAAGACCTGGAAATGCCCAATGTTTTCATTACAAAGAAGCAAATGAGCAGTAACCATCGGATGTAAACTAGCCCTTACCACACGGTTGCTCATTGTCCAATGGGTCATTAAATTCCCTGATTCTGCTGTGTGGCTGCCATGGCAACTGTTTCAGGCTCTAGACCTGTGTTCACACCTGACAGGGTGCTCACTTTCTGGGCATGACTTGAAAGGCTCTCATTCAGCCCAATGGAGTAAAAAAGCCACAGGGGATTTCCAAGTCAACAGGAGAGGAAGGGTATACACATCCTGGTTCCAAAACACATTCTGCAGATGAGAAGCAATGATGCAGTAACTTAAGAGTATAGAAACCACGCGGTACAGATTAAGTAAGCATTTGGGCTGCTAATCAAAAGGTTGACAGTTCAAATCTACCAGTTGCTTTGTAGAGAAAGATGCAGCCATCAGCTTTTATAAAAGAATTACAGCCTTAATACACCTACTGATGGTAAAAAAAAAAAAAAATTACAGCCTTGGGAATGCTGTGGGCTCCCACAGGGTCCTTTTGAGTTGGAATAAATGCAGTAGCAGTGGATTTTGTTGTTGTTGTTTAAAATATAGACTCTGGAGTAAAAATAGAATCACATTCAAAACTAACTCAGACATTAACAACTTAGTTTTTACTAAACCTCAGTTTCTCTTCTTATAAAATGTATACACTGCTGTTCTCCTCCACCTGAGTAAGATATAAGCTTGGCTCATGGTAAAACAAACAAAAACAGTTAAGAACCAGCACTATTATTTGTTCCTAGAATTTTTTGGTAAAAGAATTTGTGGTTTACAGAAGCAAAGCACTTGCTCAGCTGAAGATACACTAGAGCCTGGAGCCTCCTTTCTGAAGCCAAAGCTCAGAACTACTTGCCATCTCTCCTTAGAGAGGCCTTCAAGAATTCCTAAGGGAGAAACTCTCTCACTTCCTTAGAAATTCTCTTCTAAACACTGTGGAAAGAGACCGCACAAATCTTTTTTTCTTCCACATACCCGCTTCCCTCTTTGAAATGAAAATTTAATTAGAACCCAAATGAACATGAGAACATGCCTTGGAGAGCTTATGAATTATTTTATTACTTAAAAATTATCAGCACAAGGCGAAGTCACTTGGGGAGTTGTCTCTCTGACAGGCAAGGTTTATTCCAGCCTGTAGTCGTCCCCTGGGCCTGTGTGTGGCTGGTCCTTAGTAACCAGGGTGGTTCCTGGAATAAAAGTAACGCTTCTGTTTAAGGTCTTCAAAGTAAAAGTAATTGATTCATTCTAAGGTCAAAAGGGCTGGCCTGGGTTGGCCCATTTGGGAAGTTCACTTGTTAAAAAAGGGGTTTCCCCCCGCTTCCCACTTTTTTTCTTTGGTGGGGAAATAAATCAATTTTTCATGGGTCGAATGAGTTCTGACTTTTCTCATTCAAAGTCCACTAAGATGTTTATTTTGTTCGGTTAAAAAGACCAGAAGTCAAACAGATGTACCCCTTGGTTACAGTTCCCACTTGCATGGACACATCTGCAGTTAAAAGTGAGAAAACATTTAACAGCTCGTCGGGCCTGAGAAATAAGGGCCGTTTCTCATGAGGTCTGGTAACAAGGGTCCAGTTGTTTCATTTTCTACTGCCCATCAAGCTGCAAGACCCTGTTTGATGTCTGAAGGGTCGATTTGCAAGGAACCAGCGTGGTCACACTTGCCTCGGGTTATACACAGATATTTCTAACCAAAGCACCAAATAGTTATTTCAGAAAGAAAATTAGTTAAAAGGCATATTCCTATGATTTTGCTCCCCCCATTGTTTTCCTTTTTTAAAAAATTTCATTGTTAGGGGAGCTCTGTTGGCCTAGTGGCAAGAAGCTGCAACTACAATCCCAGAGGTGCACGGTTCGAATCCACCAGATGCTCT